AATGTCATCATCATTTTATATATTTTGAAATACGGTTATTGTAACAATCTCTTTCTCTCTTATTCTATATTTAGATTTATCCTGGTGGTCTAGGAATGTCAAGTAGTGATTTTTACCTAAATAAATCGAGTAAAAATTATCAATCATATCGACAATTAATGGTTAAAACAGTTAATCTTTTGATGCAACCATCATCATCATCATCATCATCATTATCACAACATCAACATCAGCATCAATCAAATGAAACGATTCAACGTATCAATACAGATATTGATGATATTTTAGAATTTGAAACACGTTTGGCAAATATATCTTCAATGTTTGAAAAAACTGGCGGTGCCGCCTATCAACGTATGCAAGTGAATAAATTGGCTAAACTAGTACCGAGGATTAATTGGCAAAAATATTTTGAATTAACCATACCACAACCATTGAATGATACTGAATCTATCGGTATATTTGGATTTGATTATTTTCTCGATGTTCAGGATATAACACAAACAGTTCCGGAACGGTAAGTCATTTTAAACCGCAAACAATTGTTGAAAACGATATGTTACGATATATGAAAAAAAAATTTGTTTGTCGGAAAACAACAACAACCACAGCCAAAAAAAAAAAAAAAATCACATAAAAGTGTGACTTTTTGATTGCTAGAAACACTTGAATTTTTTTTTTTTTTTGCAAAATAAGGAAGTCTTTTGTATGCATTTACTTGTCACTTGTCATCATCATTGATGATGATGATAATGATGATGGCCATTTTTTCTAGTTTATGTTTTTCTCATTCTTTCTTTACAATTGTCCAATACAACAACAATTGATAATTTCTCTCCTGTTATTTTTTTTCCTTTTTATTCAATCAATCAATCAATCAAATGTCAATTTCCGATTTCAATTGAATTGCTATTGCTTTTTTTCTTCAAATCCTCAAAGAATCATCAAAAATTATCTACTATGGCGTTTTGTTATGAATCGTATTAAAAATTTGGATCAACGTTTCGAGAATATATTGGAAGACTATTATCGTGATCAATATGGTACGAAATCGATACCGGCACGATGGAAAAAATGTATTGAATTTGTTAATGGAAATCTTGGTACAGCAGTCAGTGCATTATATGTGCGAAAATATTTTGATCTTGAAAGTAAACAAAAGGTAAGTGCTCTGAACATACATGTTATGTTTTCACTATGTTTATTCAACAATTGTCTTTTTTCATTTGATTGCAAAATAGGCCGAAGGAATGATTAAGAATATTAAAAAAGAATTTATGCTCATATTGGATGAAGTTGAATGGATGGATGATGAAACACGCAATGATGCTAAAAAGAAGGTGTGTCTGTGTTCAGTGCACTAAAGATCAGTGTCTTATCTTAATTCGGATATAATTTATCTTTCATTTCGTCTAAATATCCGCCTTTTTTCAACTCATATTTATTCATATTTTATTTTATTTTTTTTTTGAAACAGGCCGAAATGATGGAAGAACATATTGGATTTCCCGATTATATACTTGATCCGGTTTTATTGGATAAAGATTTTGAACATGTAAGTTTTTTTTCGAATGAATGTTTGGTGTCATTTTTTTCACTTTTTTTTTGTTGGCAACTATGTGTCTATTTATTTTAGTTGGAATTTGAAAACACAACCTATTTTGAAAATGTTGTTGGATATCTACGTAATTCGACGACAAAATCACAGGCAAAATTATCATCTGTTGATGATCGTACCAAGTAAGCGATTGATGGATCATTCTGAAATGATTGATTTTGATAATTTTTTTTTCTCTTTGAATCATAGATGGACTGTTATGCCAAGCGTTGTAAATGCTCAATATCATCGATTTCGTAATTTGATGAGTAAGTTTTTTTTAATGGAGATATAATCACTTTTTTTGTATTAATTACGATTCATTGATTGATAAACGCCCATTTTTAATATATTTTAAGGTTTTCCGGCAGCCATTTTGCAATCACCATTTTTCAATAAAAATTATCCACCTGCATTGAATTATGGAGCTATTGGTTCGGTAAGTTTGACAAAAATGAAAAAAAAATCTCTGTCCATTTATTAATGATTTTTTTGTAGTCGGTTGGTGTATATTCGGTCGTGTGTGACAAATTTTTGTTTTGTTTAGTTTTTTTTCGTTGTTTTGTTTGTGGCGCAATTTCTATTTTCAATCCTTTTTTCTCGCTATGTTTTTATGCATATTTCATAAAAACAAACGAACGAAAATTTCAAATTTTTTTTTCTCCAATTTTCAATGTCAACAAAGCGCAATAGTTTTGTCGATATCGTAGTATTTTGATAATGATATGATAATCTCATGTTTTATCCATGAACTCTATTTGCGTGTGGCGGTTTCATGCTATGTTTCAAAGAGAAAAAAACAAAATAGAAATCGATTGTAAATTGAAATCCTTTGACCTAGTATTTATATATATATTATTATTGGTCAGAACTGGATTTTCAACAAACTTGATCTTGACATTAATTTACACACAGACACCATAGGCACGTTTATTGAATGGCAATTATCGATCGAATAGACAAATTTTCAATTGAAAATCCATTTTTTCGTTTTTGTTGTTGTTGTTGTTGTTGATTTATTTATTGATTTTTTTTCTCATCATTATCAACAACAGGTCATTGGACATGAATTAACACATGGTTTCGATTCGAATGGCCGACATCATGATCAATTTGGTAATCAAAGACTTTGGTGGCATCCAAATACTGTTGATAGATTTATAAAGAAATCATCATGTATGATTATGCAATATAATAATTATACAGTTAAAATTCATGGTGATACATTGAATGTATGTTGTTTTTTTTCTTTTGCACAAATGTTATTATCTTTAATCTTTTGATTTTTTTTTCTTTAATTATTGAATCCGATTTGATAATGATGATGATGTAATAGGCAAATGGATTGCTAACACTTGGTGAGAATATTGCCGACAATGGTGGTGTTAAACAATCATATCGTGCATTTCGACGATCTCTATTACAGCGACCAAATGAATTTTATTTACCCGGTTTAAATATGACACATGATCAGCTTTTTTTCTTGAAATTTGCACAAAGCTGGTGCCAAATTATGACCGATGAAGGTATGGTTGAAGCATTGAAAACATGGCGTCATTCATTGGGTAAATTTCGTGTGATTGGTACATTGAGTAATTTTGCCGAATTTTCAAAAGCATATGAATGTCAACCGGGTACACCAATGAATCCACGTGAAAAATGTAGTGTTTGGTAAAATCAATCAATCAATCAATGATGATTATTATTGTGCAATTTTATGATATTCAATCAACGAAATTTCATATCTATTCATCATTCATTTCACATCAAATTATAAATCGATCAAAGAAAAAGAGATACTAAAAAAAATGAATGCAATACGATCCGAATCAATGGATCAATAATTTTTTTTCCTTTTATTTTAATTGGTTTTTTCTGCTCACACACACACACACACATAGACACAATTCATTCAAAATGTAATTCACATCTATCTACTAATCTTATCACTCATTTGATCTATCTATTTATGATTGTGATGATGATGATGATGATGATGATGACGATGACGATGACATTTCTTCATCTTTCTCGACACTATTTTTGGTCCGGTATGTTTTTTTCTTCACGCTGTATGTAAGTTTCTTTTTTTCTCTGTCTCTCTTTCGACGCTAATTCCAATTATTATCATCGGTTGATTGGTTTTCATATTTTTTTTTGTCGCAATATATGATTTCGGTTGGTTTTTTTTTTCTTTCAATGTTTGTAAATATATATTATATTTAATTATTATATAACATAACATCTCTTTTCATTATGTTTTTTTATTTGCTTATTTTAATTAGCATGATATAATGATTATTACAATAATAATAATAATAATGATTTGATTGATTTTTTTCAAAATCAAAATCAATAAAAAAAATCGATCCGATTAAATTAATTTTTTTTAGTAATGAATATCGTCAATAGATGGCATCGATGTCTTTTTTTGAATTTGAATTTTTTTTTTCTGCTCCATCAATATTCACCCGTGTTTGTGTGTGTGTGTGTGTGTTATTCTCGTTCCAAGATAATCGAAAAAAAATTTTTTTTTCATTCCGATTATCAAAGATCGACGGAAATATTTTCTATTGTCGTGAATGTTTTCTTTCTCTCTCTCTCTAACTCTTGATCTTATTCTTATTATTATAAAAGTTTTTTTATTTAGTTCTCATTGAACTGGAATTGGAATTGGAAAAAAAAGAAAGAAAGAAACGAGAGAGAAGAAGATAATAATAATGAAGAAGAAGAATTTCCAACAATTCCAATTTCAATACAATACAGTGTTTGCTGGTGGCTGAAATAAATATATTCTCGTTTTATTTCTTATTGTGTGTGTGTGTGTGTGTGTGTGTGGAAAAAAACACCCTTGTTCGTTCTGGTGGTTGGTTGGTTGATTTTTTTTTCTACTATGGAATTTTTTTTTCTCACACAATGACAATCATCATCATCATCATCATCATCCATATATAATACTCACTTGTACGCATAAAATATCCGAGTGTTTTGGATAAGAAAATGAACGACATCGACAAAGAAGAAGAAGATGGACGAGAATTAATTTAATATATAAATACCGACAATGAATGAATGAAAACAACAACAAAGATGATGAAAATAGAGAGAAAAAAAACTAGACTAGATAATAGATCCAATACAATGTGAGAATATTTTTTTTTTTTGTAATGATAATAGAATTTATGAATGGAAGTGGGGAATATAGGGGGCGTTGTTAATAAATGGAATGTCATATCGATGATGATGATGATGATCAGTGTCGAATCAATTATCTCTCTCTCTCTCTCTCTCTTTCTTTGGAATTTTTTTTTCGTCGAACATAAATTGAGTTGGTGTTTGTTGTTCAAATGGGGGTGGGGGTGATTAGAATAATTTTTGTGCCTGTTGTTCTTGTTGTTGGTGTTGTGTTGTTAAATTCTTTTTTCCCCATGGTTTTTTTTAGATTTCAAATTTCAATCATATATTCCACTTGTGTTCGAACACATAATATTAACCCCTCTATATTGAATCATGTGATAAAAAAAAATGTCATCATCATCCATAATGGTAGTAGTATATGGTTATTCATCATCATCATTTCAATTGACATTCATTTTTTTGTTCATTTTAATTTAGTTATATGGAGTAAAAAAGGAAGTGGTGGTGGTGGATAACCAGCAAATAAAGAATCAACAACAATGTGATGATGATGATGATGATGATAATGTTTTTGGATGACAAAGTTAGGTGGATATAGTGTGTGTGTGTGTTTTTATGTTCAAGATTTTAATATAGCGACGATGTAATATTATTGGATGGATGGTAAATCAAACAACAATAACAACAAAAAACAAATTGATTCGATTCGATTCGATTCGAGAAAAAACACATCCGGATCATCATCAAAAAGCTGAACCACTCATATCGAGACGTTAATTTTTTTTTCTTGTGATCTAAAAAAAAAGCTGAACCGTTGTGTTAGTGTTTGTTTGTAGTATGTATTTATTTGGAAAATGTTTTAATTGAAAAAAAATCAATGATGATGATAATATTTTTTTTTTTTTTCTCACGATTTTCAACAACAAAACAGGACAATCGAGTGGTCAATTATTGATCATCAATTCTATTAAAATCATCACCAGCCAAAAGATTTTTTTGTTGTTGTATTTCCTGATTTTATTTTCTTCGACAACCACCATCAATTGAAATATTGAATACGTGCTCAAAATTCGAACGTTTTCATTTTCCGTCCATCATTGTGAAGAAGAAGAAGAAGAAGAGGAAAAAAATCATTGGATCACCCTGTCTATTAGAATAATCGATAGAAATACAAACCAGTGCAAAAAAAAGACGATCGAACAACAACAACAACAATAAAAACATCAGACAAACTGTGGCATTTCGATTGGCTATGTTATTTACGCCTATTAGGCGAATGTCGTTCATTTTTGAACGGTACATCTACGACGACGGTAGTTGCCACCGCCAACAACAACAACAACAACAACAACAAACAAAACCGTCGACTCCGACGAAGAAAACGACGAAGATATTATCAATCGACAACAACAACAGAATCAATCACAGAAAATCATAACCATCATCGAAGACGAAAACGAAAATAATTTTATTAACAATAATTGGAAAAGAATCAATAAAACGAAATCATCATCATCATCATCATCATCGCCACCACCACCAACATCACAATCGATGATGATGAATTTAAATCATGCTGAAAAATTTAAATGCCTTTTCAATGATTTACAAGAAAATTTTAAAAATTTCACAACACAATTGCATAGTCCATTATCGTCGAATCAAACAACATCGATCAATAATGATTGCTTGAATAATAATAATAATAATGATGATGATGATGGCGATGATGATTGTGATCCACCATTTCTTGATCATCATCGTACCACCATAATTAATGGTAGGCAAAAAATTAAATGTAAACAACAACAACCATCAACACCGCCTGGTACCTGTATGAATACGGAAGAATTTCGACGTCGTGGTAAGGAAATGGTCGATTATATTGCTGATTATATGGAAACGATTCATAAACGTCGTGTAACACCAAATGTTGAACCTGGTTATCTAAAGGATTTCCTACCAGAATCGGCACCAATTCAAGGAGAAACATGGGATCATATTATGGATGATTTTGAAAAACTTATTATGCCCGGTGTTACACATTGGCAACATCCACGTTTTCATGCATATTTTCCAGCTGGTAATTCTTATCCATCCATTTTGGCCGATATGATTTCCGATGGTATTGGCTGTGTTGGATTTTCGTGGGCTGCAAGTCCAGCCTGTACGGAATTGGAAATCATTATGTTAGATTGGGTTGGAAAAATGATTGGTCTACCGGAACAATTTCTTTGTTTCAGTGATCATTCAAGTCGTGGTGGTGGTGTTATACAGGTATGTTAAATTATTTTTAATTTTTGTTTCTCTTAATTAACCCAAATATTTCAAAGGGTTCAGCAAGTGATTGTGTACTCGTATCATTATTGGCAGCAAGATGTGCTGCAATTAAAAAATTACGTGCAAAAGATGGTATTGGCACTAATAATAATGATGATCCAGTAATAGATGATGGTTCATTACTATCAAAATTAGTTGGTTATTGTTCAAAAGAAGCACATTCTTGTGTGGAAAAAGCAGCAATGATTGCATTGGTCAAATTACGTATATTGGATACTGATGAAAATTTTTCATTACGTGGCCATGCATTACAAGAAGCCATTGAAGAAGATAAACGTAACGGGCTGATACCATTTTTTGTTTCCGCAACACTTGGTACAACTTCATGTTGTTCATTTGATGCATTATATGAAATTGGACCACTTTGTAGCCGTGAAAATCTTTGGTTACATGTTGATGCAGCATATGCTGGTAATGCATTTATTTGTCCAGAATTTCAATATCTTATGAAAGGAATTGAGGTAATGTTGAACAAAAATCTTAGTGTTTGAAATTGAAATTTTTTTTAACACTTTTATTTCTTTCTTTTGTTTTTTTTCCATCATTCAAATTCATTAAGCATGCATCATCATTCAACATGAATCCAAACAAATGGATGTTGGTCAATTTTGATTGTTCATTATTATGGGTTCGTGATCGTTTTAAATTGACACAAGCATTGGTGGTGGATCCATTATATTTACAGCATAGTTTTTCTGAACGTGCTATCGATTATCGAGTAAGTGTCATTTTTGTTTGTTTATGAAACACATTTTAATCAATCACTGAATCACTCAATCAAAGCATTGGGGTATACCGTTATCACGACGATTTCGTTCATTAAAACTTTGGTTTGTTATACGTAATTATGGTATCGAAGGCCTGCAACGTTATATTCGCGAGGTAAGTGTTTTCATTGTTTTTGTTTTTTGTTTTTAATTTTAATGATTTTGTTTTGTTGTTGAAATTTAGCATGTTCGATTGGCTAAACGATTCGAACGTCTAGTACGACAGGATGATCGATTCGAAGTTGTTAATCAGGTTAAACTTGGTCTTGTTTGTTTTCGTTTAAAGGTGTTGTTGATCAAGTGTCTGTTTTATTTTTTTGTTTTAAAACTTTTTGTTTTTGTTTTTTTTAGAGTTCAGATGTAACGAATCAAAAATTTCTATCTACTGTTAATGCATCGGGTAAACTGCATATGGTACCAGCATCATTAAATGGAAAATATGTAACCCGATTTTGTGTTTGTGCACAAAATGCAACCGATTCGGATATTGATCATGCTTACACTGTGATTTCACAATTTGCAACCGATCTATTTGAAATAATTGAAATGGAAGATAAGAAAAAGCAACCATTATCAACAACAATGACAACGACTACGACGACGACTACGGCAACAAACGATATAGATGAAGAAACAGTTCCAATAACAGTAAAAACCGATGATAATATTGCAACAACAAATATTGAAGATAATGAAGCTGTTGATGAAGTATTCATGTTGGATCGTAAACGACAGATGAGCTTAAGATATAAACGTAGTTTTTTCGTACGAATGGTATCGGATCCAAAACTTTATAATCCAAAAATTGTAAAAGCATTAAATAATACAAATTCATCATCACAATCTTCATTGGATGCTACTACTGCTACTAATCCAATTGCCAATAATATTACTAATGATAATAAACGACATACAAGTGAATCAAATGAACCACCACCACCACCATCATCATCATCATGATCATCATCGAAAAATTTTAATTCAAATTGATTTGTTTTTCCCCACAACAATTATCTAAAATAAGATTTTAGCATCAATTAATCTGTTTGTTTGTTTGTTTGTATTTGATATTTTAATTAATTAATAATTAATAATTACAAGAGATAATAATAAAAATGGAAATGATTTTGATTATTTAGAAAATTAACACGATTGTGTTCCATTCATAGATGACATGATATGATTCTAAATGATTCTTGATGAATATGATCTCTAATTAATAATAATCAATATAACCGCGGTAATTCATAATCCTGGACCAATATAATATACAAGAACGAAAAATGACAACTTTGCTGCATGACATCAGAAAATTAGTTGAATTGCTGATGATGGCGATGATGATGATGATGATCAGCTGATTGATCGACCACCACACATGGTAAATTTTGTTTTACAATTTTTTTTTTTCAAAAGTGTTTCTTTTCATTTATTTTATTTATTTATTTTTTGTCGTTGTTTACTTTTCAATCAGCAACAAAAAAAAAGAAAATGTCAAATATTGGAAAATTATTATGTACATGTAGATATTTCCTTAAAATTGCGTATATTGGAACCAGATACAAGTATGTTTGTGTGTGTGTGTGTGTGTGTAATCGACACGAATCGACAAGATGACAAAAAAAAAGTTAAATATTGACACACAAACACCGAGCATCATTCGAATTTCCAATTGGAAATTGGAATTTTTTTGTTTTTGTTTTTGTTTTTAATTTTTCAACATTTGATTCCATGTTCTCTTTTTTTAAATTTTTTTTTCTGATGAATACAAACACACAGAGGTGTACAACGACAAACTCGACGTAACATGAAAGCAGCCATCATCGATGATTATAATGATGGCGATTTATTCGGTGGTGGTGGTGGTGGTGGAATTTTGAACAAACAAAATGATGATGAAGATGGTACCATTCAAGCGGCCATTGAAGTAAATTGTATTCTTGAAAAAAATTTTAAAAAAAGAAACTTTGAATGTTTGTTTTTTTCTCATCATACACATAGAATTCATTGAATCGTGCATTATGTCCAGTTTATGGTGCTCGTTTGGCCCTCAGTTCACGTACCGATTCTGGTGTTCATGCATTAATGAATACGGCAAATGTTGATCTAACACATCCATTACCAGATACAATTTATCGTCCATCATTCATTGTGGCCGCCACAAATCGTCTACTTTCCTATGCTGGTCACGATATAACGTATGTATTTATTTATCAAAAAAAAAAAAAAAAAAAAAATGGATTGATTTGTGAACCAAAGAAAAAAAAATTGAACTTTAATCAAAAAAAAAAAAATTTTTTCTTATTTTCAAACTCTATAGAATATTGGATGCACGTCTAGTTTCATCACATTTTCATAGCCGTATTAATGCCAAATATCGTTCGTATAAATATCGGTTTGCTTCGATTATTTTGCCCAATACAGATGATAACAATAATAATCATTATAAACCGGCACAACAACAACAAATCCAATATAATCAATTTCGTTCAATATTGCCAATAACATTAGTGAATCGATGCCACATTATAGCTGGGTAACTACTATTGGTTTTGATTTTGATTTTTGGATTTCATTGTCGAAAATGAAATTAATTTTAGTTTTTCATTCTTTTTTTACTTTCTTTCAGACCATTAAATTTAGAAGCAATGAATGAATCGTGCAAGTTACTTTGTGGTTATCATAATTTTTGTAACTTTACAACACTTTCAAGTGATAATCGTGAAAAAGATCCACGAAAGACTATTGAAAAATTTTATTTGCAAAAACTTTCGATTTCTGATACATTCGATAATGTTGTTGTTATTGGTGGAAATTCTAATATTGAATTTTATGAATTTTTCATACAAGCCGATTCTTTTCTCTATAATCAAATTCGTCGTATGGTTGCAGCCATTATTGATGTTGGTCTTGGCCATATTACCATCGAAGAATTACGATCAATGATACCGGAAAATGATGATGATGATGATGATATTGATTCGAATGGAAAAGAAATTATGATAATGCAACGACAAAGATGGCCATTATCGCGTAACATTCAGAAACGATTATCCACCATGGTACCGGCATGTGGTCTTTATCTAGTAGATGTTGGTTACGATGAACAGGGTAAATTTTTATTAAATTTTAGATGGATGGTAATTTTATTTTATTCTTTTTGTCTGTTTTTTTCACAGATTTTAAACTTGATGAAAATTTTAATGAATACTCACCAAAAACTGTTTATTATAATGAAAATTCATTCGATTGCGATGATACCAGTGATCTTGATTCTTGAATAATTATCGTCAATGTTGATGACATGTGAAAAAAATCAGGACAATTATGTTTGGGTTGAGATTTTTTGTTTTCATTCGGTTTGGTCCATTTTCGCTGACTCATCATCATCATCATTGAAATGATTTTCGGACAAATTCTCAAATGGCCATAATTACTCTACTTCAATCAGTCCAGTCCAGTTCATCATTATGACTCAAGATTTTCTTCTGTTCCACTTACCCAATGGGTTGGTGGGTGTTCATCAAAAAAATTTGGAAAACTAAAAGTTTCTGGTTCTTATCTCTTGGTCGTCGTCGTCGTCGTCTTTTTTTTAATCTGTTTCTTCTGGCTCGTTTTTCCTCCTCTCCTTTCTTCACGCTTTTCTCTGGCCAAACAAAACTAAAAAAATTATCATTCGTATATGGCCTTCATGTTTTGTCATCCTGACAGCACCTGGATGTTTATCATCATCCAAAAATTAGTGTAAATCATCGATTGGATCCGAAAGGGCTATTGAAATTTCTAAAAGAATCGTATGGCAAATCGGAGGCAAGTTACGTGTCAATCGGAATGTCACTACCGAAAAAATTGAATCATTCCTTGAAAATTGTCATTTAAGTTGGCATCGTTAAACTTTGTGAAAAATTCTTCGTAACCATCGTCTTGTCCAAAGTCAAAAACAAATTTAGATTCATAACTGATCTTGAGTTAAACCCAGATGCGACTATAAATATGGCAAATATTTTTGGGAAAATGATCTCTGAAGTTAGATCAATTAAAAATAATCAATCTTCTTCTGCTTCCGATATTGATTTGAAAATACAACAGATAAAAAAGGAATAATCATACGATAAATTTCATCATCATCCTCATCAGATTCAATCAGATAATTCAGATAAGTTTAAAAAATGCGTCTGGGGCTTCAATATTTGTCAATTCTTTTTCTCAAAATCTGATCGTAATAGTTGGCTATTTGAAAAATTCAAGAAAATTGGAAAATCAACAGAATTAATGATAATGATGAATATGGCTCTATGACATTACCACTGATGATAATGTTCCAGCAAACGTTATTTCGGTTACGAGACTATCAAGTTTTCTGTACTGTTCACCAAAACTGGATTGAAAATTACTTATGATCGAGAAGCAAACACATGGTCAAATCTAAAAATTGAAACGATAAAAGTTAAAAATTTTGAGCCAAAAATATTCTTTTGTTCATCATCGTATGTACGGCATCCAAATTTTGACATCACAACATCATCATTCAAAATTGCCAATGGAAGTTCTATATGCGGATCTATGATTTCCATCTTCGATTCATAATCAAAAATACATGCTGGTATATCAATGTTCATCATTTGACAAATCAGCTGATTATGTTGTTGTTATTATGATTGTATATATTGTAAATTAATTATCATTACAAATAAAAAAAAAACATGAAATCTGTTTCACAAACAAAACAAAACTAAAAAAAAATTCTTCATGTTTTGTACCGGATGTTTTCATCATCCAAGAAAACAAAACAACAACAATGTTTTCCACCGAAAAAAAAAAAGTCATTTACGTTGTCTAGGTCATTAAAAAATTATTTAAGAATCTAAATTTGAAAAAAATAAGATAAATTTGATGAAAGAATTGCAAAAAAAAACTTGGACATTAATGATAATGATGATGATGATGAATAATGAGCCTGTCATTTATGAACGGTCAAATCGAACGATAAACCATCATCATCATCATCATTATCCAGATGATGATAATTATCATTTGATGATTATATCCGGTTTTATTTTGTGATTTTCATTTGAATTTCAATTTAAATTTATATTTTTTGTTTTGTTTTTCATAAGAAAATAATTAAAATTTTCAATGAATCACGCACGATGATTTCAGCAGTCGCTTTGTTTTCAATTAACTTTCTTTTTTTGCGGTCAAATTCATTACCATTCAACATTCATTTTATTATCTTGGGGTACACCATAGTGTATTCGATAAGACTATGGCAAAAGACAAAAATGAGGAAAATGAATCATTTTGTACGACGACGACGATGACTACGATCGAAATATCCGAATACAAAAACCAACAAAATGTGATGAAGACTGTAAAATGGGCAATAAAGACATCATCATCATCATCATCATCATCATTGGCCAAATAGGATGCCCACATATAATCGGATTTAAACTACAACAACAACAACAACAAAAAAGACCAGAATCCAAAAGAAAAAAACCCAATAACCATCCACTTGGCTATATTCAAAGAAAATATACCACCGACTTTGGACTATAAGCTTCTTCTCTCTCTCTCTCTCTCTTTTTCACTCATTCGTTTGCTCTCCACATGGACAAAAAGATAATAATGACAGAAAATTATTTCTATCGGGTATTCGCATGAATTGACACCTTTCACCGAAAATATATTCCGGGTTTTATATTAGGAATTATTATTGTACGAAAATTGTTTTTTGCTATCGTCGGTCACGTTGGTCAAGAATTTTTTTTTGTTTTGTTTCTCATTTTCGCTGCTGTCACTTATCGCTTCATCATATGGGGTATTACATTTTATGAGAAACAAAAAAATTTTTTTTCTATTCCAAAATCTAATTCTTTTTTTCCTGCTGATCCATAATAGGTTTATTCATCATGTCTCGATATGTAAAGAACCGGATAATTCGGATTCTCGGCCATTGTTGTTGTGGTTGCCAAAAAAAAAAATTATAACAAACATGAATTTTTTTTTTGGGCGTGTTTACTATTTTTTTTTCTTCAATTCTGGTTACATTCAATTCAACCTCTTCATTCTCAAACAAAAAAAAAAATTTCGCCCTGATTATATTATATTATCAAACAAAAACTATCAACAAATTAACGAACAAAAAATGAAGATCATCATCATCATCATCATCATGTTGTTGTTGTTGTTGTGATTCATTCATTTACCATTTATTGTTTTCAAAAATTATCATTGTCTGTGTGTGTGCATATAATATACATCGATTATGAAGAAAACAAGACGACAAAGATTTAATCGAAAATTTTCCACATTGAATAATGAAATCATGTGTGTGGCCAACATGAACCACCACCACCATTGGCGCACCATTGTATGTCATAGTTTTCAACATTGAAAAAAAAATGTCAAAATTGAGATATGTAAAACGAGTCTAGTAAGGCGTAAGGGAAAAGGTATGACATTTTTATCTATAAATTATTGATATTATCATGAACCTAATGTGATATATATCCAAGTGATGATCGAAAATTGGTTTGTGTGTGTGTGGAACCAACCAATCAACCAACTAACCATACTGTGTACACCTGCTGTTTGATGATTGGATAATGATGATGATGATTTTTTTTGTCTCCCATTTTCACCCACTGTATTAGTTTTCTTTGTTTTGATGATATCTGGTCATTTCATGGTCATTTTATTTATGTTTTTAATTTTATAAATTCTGAGATTCGTGTGCGTGGGTTTCGTTGTGTGTGTGTGACAAACCAAGAAAAATTTTTCATCATAAACAAGATGAAAATGAGAAAATTTCATTGTTTTTTATTTCGTTCATTCAAGTTTATGAGTACACCAGAACTTCTCATTTATATAATGATAATGATGATGATAATTAATTATTATTTTTTTCTTCTTTTTTTTTATTTTCCAGGTTGGTAAAACAACAACAACGACAACAACCACGAATCTAGAACAGAACAAAAAAAAACCAACAAACAAAGCAAAATATTCCTGGTCATTTATGATGATAATATCATCATCATCATCATCAAGAGAAAATGTCATAACAGCAGCATTTGGTAACGATAATCGACCAAAAAACAGAAAATTGTTATCATTAATGAGACTCTATAGAAACGGCACTAATGAGACCAAACAAATACATTCAAGTATAATCTATCTATCTATCTATCCATATATGTGATATGATATGATCCAACATTACAGGTGTATCTTTTTTTCTTCAATTCATTTATATACAGTGAATAATTCATCTTGAAAATATTTTATTTTTCCCTTTAGTCTTTCGTTAGGGCATCTGGTTCATCAACCATCAAAAAGAATGAAAATTATGAAACTGTCAAGATAATAATAAAGAATTGTAAATTTATAATAGTGGACTATAATTTTAGTGGTCCATTCTTTTCGGATTCATTACTAAAAGATTATCCACATAGAGAGAATTTATCATCATCAATGAATGAATGAACGAACAAATGTCGAAAGTTGGAATTAACTTTTGTTTTCATTTCAACACATCATTCACTGCATTTTTTTTTGTTTCTTTTATCCAAATCCTACTATTGTTACATGAAATGGATTTGCAAGAAGACTATCTGTAAAATTTTTTGGACACAAAAAAAGGATGAATTTCAAGTGTTCTACTACCAAGGCAAAAAGGCAAGAAATGAAAAAAAAACTTTTATCAACATTCATTCATTCATTCTTTCTTTTTTTCCAGGCCATTGTTGAACTGTTCTTAATTCTTTTGTAAACAAGGAAAAAAAAGCCCCCAGAACAAGCACAACAAACGATTCGAAATGGTGGCCACATTCACACACACACACATCGTGAAACCATGAATGTGAATGAATTATGGGGACCGAAACAAAAACCACCAACAAAATGGAAACAAACAAACAAGAAAAAAAATCTTACAGTTCTACCATTCACGACGAATGTATCGTTTGTATCGAATAACAAAACAAAACAAAAAAAATGTATAGAATCGAGGAATAGTGGACGAAACAGCGAAAAAAAAATCCGCAACAAACGCGACGACGAATATCCCGGTAGTAGCATTATTCAAAATGCCATAAGAAACAAAAAAAAAATTTTTTCCCGATTCGAATCAAATCAAATCGACCAGCACAACGATGAGAATGCACCAGCAGCAGCTACAGAAGCCTAACCAACCATCGTTATGAAACTTTCGCTTTCACCAAGTTCAATATTCAAAATAGTTTATTTGAATCAAGTGAACACACCATTGCCACACATACAGTCAGTTGAATTCTCATTCCATGTGAAACGACCAACAAGCAAGCAAAACAAGTCAAATTGTCAAATTTTGTTTTGGTAGTGTCTCAAGACCCAGGGAATAGTGCTGCTGTTGAATCGTTCGAGTTGTAGTAGTACAATTCTGGAATGGTTGGTTTTTTTTCCGAGGGTAAAACATTCAAAAATTCATTCAAGCCTAAAACTCGACCAGTGAGATTGGGAAAAAAAACCAGAAACCAACTTTTCTAGTATAAATCAACCAGTAAAGTAACCGATCACATCACTACTTCTTCTTCTTCTTGG